CAGCACCACATGCCAGCCAGACCCGCCCCCTGGTGGGCTGAGCTGGCCACACACACACACAATAAATAAATGTAATAAATAAAAAAAAATAAATAAAAAAAAAAAAAAGAAGTACATGCAAATTAAAAAAAAAATAAAATAAAAAAATTAAATTGACAACAGTTGCTCAGAAAAGGCTGTAGTCAAAATGTAGTAGGTAAATAAGTTCTGATAGTATGTTTCTGTTTTCTTCTCTTTTTGAATATTATTAAAGATTTGAAATAATCTACTTAAAAAATTTAAAGTTTTGTGTTTCATTTTACTTACAACTATATAGAATTAAAGGATTACAAATCCAGATTTTATAAAATTATTTAAAGTATTAAATTTTTGTTTCTTTTGTTTTGTATCTATCAGAATTGAATTTTATTCATTTTTTTTTTTTTTTTTTAGAATTGAATTTTAGACCTTGAAGTTCACTTAAAGTTTAAATTTGGCTTGGTGGTACATGCCTGTAATCACAGCACTTTGGGAGGCTAATAGAAGAGGACAGCAAGTTTCAGCCCAACCTGGATAACCTGGCATCTTAGCAACTTAATGACACTCTTTCTTAAAAATAAGAAGGGCTGGGAATGTAGCTTAAGTATGAAGGTCCTGGGTTCAATACCCAGAACTACAAAATTAAATAAAATGAATAAGTGAGTAAATAAATTAGTAAATAAGTAGGTAAAGTTTAGACAATTTTGTTTCTTTATAGCATTTTTTATAATCAGTTGGATTACTATCCTAATTGCATTAGCCCAGTGGGAGAAAAAAAAATCTTATGTCACATAGTCTAACAGTGTGTTGAAGTTTGAAGAAAGGTGGAAAAAGAGGCATAAACTTTTAGAACTAGAAGGGCTCATAAGGTTGTCCCTTTGTCTAATATGAATAAATTTGAGACCCAGAGAGATTAAGTGACTTGACCCAAGTCATGACACATAGCAAAATGACAGCCATGGAGATGGCTCAGTAGAATAAGCGCTTCCCTGGTAAGCACAAAGGGCCTGAGTTCAATCCCCAGTTCCGCAAAAAAAAAAACAAAAAAAAAAAACCTAGAACCAATATTCTGCTCTCTAGCTTTCAGCCAGCTAACATTTAATCTGCTTTCATCTTCATAAATTTTTGAAAGCTACATTGATGACTAAAGGTTGCCTTGACAGAAATTCATCCTTCTAAATAGTATTTATCGAAACTAGGAAAATGCTGAATGCCTCAGTACTGGACCCCATGTATCAGTGCAGTATAAATTTGTGTAAAAGTATGACTTCAAGAGCAAATTAACAAGCACAAGGGCCTGAGTTCAATCCCCGGTTACACACACACACACACACACACACACACACACAAAGCAAATTAAGGGGGCCAGCCAGATATTTCAGCCAACTAAAGCACCTGCTTAGGCAGACGCAGGGGCTGGGGGTTTGATCACCTGCCATGCCGGCCCCTCCCCCAGGGCAAGCAAAAACAGCAATTGAGACTGGGTGTCTGTAATCCCAGCACTTGGGAGGCTGGAAAACAGGAACGATCAATACAAGTCCGATCTGTGTAGTGAGACCCTGTAGACCTGGTACTAAATATGTTTTTTAAAAAAGCAAATTAGGATGAGGATATAGCTCAGCAGCACTGTGCCTCCCTGGCTAGCATGAGGTTATCAGTTCAGTTCCCACTATAAAAAAAGGCAAATTAATCAGTTATTCCCTAAATTCAAATATTAGAAAAATAATTATTTTCATAGTAAATTATATTCTAATGCTAGCCCAGTATTCTGTTACTACCAAAATCCCTATTGGGCCATGCCTTGGCATCAACTATAAAGAATATTGAGCTTTTTTAAAATTAAAGTTATTCCACTCAAAACATACCACAGCAATATATGTGCACCCATGTTTATAGCAGCACAATTTGTCATAGCTAAATCTTGGAAACACCCCAAATGCCCATCAACTGAGGAATAGATTTAAAAAGTATTGCATTTTTACACAATATGTTACTCAGCTATAAAAAAAGATAAATTTCAGGCTTTAAAGGTAAATGGATGCAACTAGAGACCATATTGGTAAGTGAAATAAATCTGACCTGTATGTGCAAACATTGCATTTGCCTGCTAGTGCAAGAACCCTAAAGAATAAATAAAATCTGAAAGATACAACAGATACTGTGAAAGAGAAAGACTCTGTTCAAAGGGAATGATAAACTGGGTCGAAGAAAAAGAAGAAAGAAAAAAGATATTTATCTATATGCAGAGGATAGATAGCTTGGATAATTATACTGCTAATTTCTGCTAATCTATGGAAAGGAGCAATTAATGCTTAAATTTTTTTCCTCTCCTTTTTAATTTCCTATAATTTTTAAACTTACTAATTTTGCATGTTTATATCTGGTAATCTAAACTAATTTGAAAATAACATTATGCAATACAGCAACCATTGTTGAATTCCTATTCTTTTGTTTAGTGAAATTCTGAATCCTTTCTAATATTTTTAGTACTTTTATTTTTTTTAAATAAAGAGGAAAAAAATTGTTATTTCTAGCACACATTTATATTAAATAAGGAAATAAGTTTCTGGAAAGAAATCGTAATGTTATGATTAAGTTAAACTTACACTGTTTTCTTGTTTTCATTTTATATTACATATTTCTCATTTTTAAGCTAGAGCTTTTGATGCTTAATAAATTTTATAAATGAAAAGTAAATGCCATTTCTTGTCCTAATAGAGAAAATTATTCTCTATATTGGACTAGGTAAGAAATTTAACTTTTGCATATTTTTATAGTTTATTTCACATGTGCCGATGTTATTTTACCTTTTGTACTAGGTCATGCATGCATTTAGCAGTTATGTACTCAAGAGGGTGGGTGATGCTTGAACATTTTGAGTAGATTTTTTTAACCTTTTGCTATATACATTTGTTTTTGCATAATATTTTGATAATTGGCATCAAAATAAGTTTATTCATAAAGAATGGCAAGGAAAATTACAATGTCTTACTAAAATTTGCAAAAATATTTTTGTTTGAACTTCTGTGCAGAAAATCCAGGCAATCCAGGTGTGTGTGTGTGTGTGTGTGTGTGTGTGTGTGTGTGTATAAATAAAAGGTAGATAAAGTATTATATGGAAGAAAACAGACGTTGAAGCGGTCTGTTATCTAAAGGTATTTATAAACAAGATTAAACATACTTCTTAACGTTACAGTATGTTGCTGGATTTTTATACTAGATTTTCTCACTTCTAGGCATATTGATACCACTCCTTGCCCTTCCAAGGCAATAAATGTTGCCTTGATGTATGAGTTGTGTGCATGTGAACAGGAGCATGCTCTGTCAAAGACAGTTAACCTTTCTGAATTATTTGTCCTTTCATATACATATTTAATGATCTGTTCACTACTGCAAAAGAAGAAAATTGGGCTTTTAAAAATGTATATAATGCTTACTTTGGAAGCACATATACTTTAAAAACGTATATAACGTATATAACATAACATGGAATTTTCTTCTTTCCTTTGTCCTTATAATTGAGCTGTCCATTGCATACTTTTAACTGACAGTGTTGTTGAGACCAGCTCACTTTATTCTTAATGTGTACCCTGATATTTAATAAAATGGGTATTTATTTCAATAGTATTATTTAGGTGGGCATTTATTAGAGTGAACAAGATAACTCCAATAGATCCTGTTAATAGTTTTATGTTTAGAGGTTAAGAAGGTATTTTTCTTTAATTTGTTTTACTGAATTACATTATTTTGAAAGTAGATGATGAGGGTAAGGTTAAGTGAGGAAAACTGTACTTTTTATTTAATTTCAAACTTAAAGTACGTAACAAGGCACATTTAAAAATCAGTTGCTCAGGTTTGCGTATGTATGTAGAATTGCTGATAAATGAGGTTCATAGCCATAATTATATTCTTGTTTTAAAGCTTATTTGAAAACTTACTTAGACCCACATTGTACTTCTTATTACCTTAATCACAGATAACTAGATTTAACTGAGATATAAATGAATGATTAAGCAGTATTTGAAAAGAAAGTCATGTTTATTCAGAAATTACTAATCTGTAGAAGTACATTTTTTATGCCATGCATAGTATAACATTTGCTTTAACTGAATATTTTATAATGTTGTTAGGGAGCATATTGAAAATTCTTCACTTAGCCCTTACACTTTCCCTTTCTCATTCTTCCTGCCTCTTGATCTCTTGGTTTTTATAATCTTCCTCCTTATTTTGTAGACACTGCTCTCCTGTTCACTACTTCTTCTCTGTCTTTACGTCTCATCACTGGGCCTCTCTCAGTGTCTGTTTTCCCAACCTTCATCCCAAATTCCAGCTGTATATCTACAACCAGTTGGTCAGGTAACTGCACCTTTTTAAGTGCACTCTTTGATAGAGCATGCTCTGTTCTTTATGTTTTGTTTGCTTTTTTTTTTTTTCACTTTATTTTTTAATAGTGTGGAGGCCTCTTGTCAAATATGTAGATTTTACTATTAATTTGATGTGATGATTATTCAAGAAGTGAAATGACTCTTCTTCTTGTGCTTTTGACTGATGGTTGGATATGTGAATGCATTTTTGTTGGCTAGTTACTGCTGTAGATCTAACACCAATAATAGGAGCAGCTTATCTTTCATTTAGATGTGACATCTACATTTGAAGAATTTATTTGTAGCCTCTGATATAATCAATCAGATTAGTAATTTCTCTTAACTTTTTGGATTTAAGATGATTGGCTATTTAATTTCAGAGATTGGGTTAAATTGAGAAATTTTATACATTTAATACATCTTTCACTCAATAAGACATTTGACTGGTGCTGTGTTTTCTATATAAAAGAATGATTTATCACCTAACATTCTATTTCTTGGGTAATGGGAACCAAACTGACTACAACTGAAGCAAAGCCAGACAAATTTTGAAAAGGGATATAAACATGCTTTTGTTTGCTTGCTTGTTTTGGAGTTGTGGGCTTTATTTTTGTTATTTTCAGTCTTTGTTGTTTTGGGTTTTGTGTATTTTCTGGTCTGAGCTTTGAGAATAAATTTCTTATGTCTTTTATTGTGAAAAAGGACCACCTATAAAAATGACACCTTTGTAGTCATGATTGTCCATATATCCCAAAGATTTTCTAAATTTAGTAGTATTTTTCCTGTGCTAATCTTATCAAACATTATAAGTAAAACATAAAGTCTCTCATTTTCTGAATAAGTCAACTTATCAAACTTTGTCATTTCATACTTTTCTAGAGAGGAAAATAGTGCGAATGTTCTGCTCCTGTACAACTTGTTAAGGTGCTGAGAGACAGCTTTCAAAAGGAGCTCTGCCTGTAGGCTTCTTCTCTGACTGGTCTTTATGGTGTGATCATAGGTTTCTGACAAAACGAGAACAAAAATTAATGCAGCGGCGACAACATGCAGAAGAGCTCCTGGAGTGGAAGCGACGTTTAGATGCAGAAGAAGCTGAAATTCGCCAAATGGAAAAACAAGCTTTGGCTGCCTGGGACAAAGAATTAATAAAATCCAAAACTCCTAAGAAAGAACTGGAAGACCAGAGAACAGAGCAGAAAGGTAATAATAAATACTGTTGAGATTATAAACTAATATATTTGAAAGACATATACTGTTCAGACTATAAACTTAACATATTTGAAAGATGCCATTTCATTTTAAAATGTTAATGATTAAAGGTGAAGTCAGTACAACTATACATGCTGCATAACTCAGAAAGATAAGAATGTATGATGACTGTCAGTACAAACATGAAAACTTGGAAGAAATAAGTAAATTCTTCAAGAAAAAAGAACGTACTTAAGGTTTTTTTTCTTTTTTTTTTTTTTTTTTTTTTTTTTTTTTGTTCCTCGAATGCCTTCAGGGCACTTTTGGCCAGCTGGAGAGGTGTGAGGTTCGAACTCCAGCAACCTGAGGCTGACAGCTTTGTGGAAGCAGCCACTTAAAGGCCTGAGCTAGGGCCAGGCCCCCGAACGAACGTACTTAAGTTTTGTCAGTTGGAAAATGAGAACCTTCTTACTCCTTTGGCAATTAAAGAAATTGTACCCCAGTAACTATAAAGATCTTTATAACTTTATAAAGATCTCCTCTGGCATTAACAGTCCATTAGACATACAAAGGGGAAAAAAACCAGGCATATAGTATTTTTACTTTTTTGTTAGCTCAGGTCCTCATGCATGCTAGGCAGACTCAACCAACTGTGCTGCACCTCAACAAATATGTCTATTTTAAATCAATATGATTAAAAAATTTTTAAAAAATAGAGATCATAAGCAAAAATTAAAAGAAATCAATATGATTAATATATAATCGGTGGCTAGATTTTAATGTAACAAATCATAAGTCTATTGATGTAATTTCAGGATCCATATTATAGTTAACATTTAAGAAACTGCTACTTGTCAAGTTTTGATATACATCAAAAAGAATATCAATAATTATAAAGACTCTTTAAAAAGCTCTTTTCTGGCTAGATATCTGTGAGAAAGGATTTTTCTTCATATGCTTCAACTAAAACGTTTATTGAAACAAATATTGACTATAGAAGCAGATACAAGCATTGTTGTCTCATGATAGACATTAATAGTATTAATAAAGTGGAGGGGCCAGGGAACTGGCTCAGTAGAATAAGTGCTTGCCTGGCAAGCACAACGGTCTGAGTTAATCCCCAGTTTTGCCTAAATAAATAAGTAAATAAAGTGGAAAACATTCTCACTAAACTTTTATAGAAAAATATATTTTGAATGTTTAAAAGTGCTATCTATACTAACATGTAATAGATTTATTAGTGATTTTTAAATAAATTACTATTTGAAACATTTTTTACTTTCTAGTGTGTGTAAATAGTGATGCATATAACCATAACTACATAAGATAAAACTCTTTGAGGTCCTCACTACTCTGTGTGTGTGTGTGTGTGTGTGTGTGTGTGTGTGTGTGTAGGGCTGGCCAGATAGCTCAGGGGACTAAAGTACCTGCTTTGGCAGAGCGTATCGGGTTGGGTTTGATCCCTGGCATACCTTGCTGGCCCCGCCCCTCAGATCAGCTGAGACTGGAATTGAGACTCAGTGTGGTGGCCCACGCCTGTAATCCCAGAATTTGTGAGGCTGAAAACAGGTGAATCACTACAAGTCCTGTCTGTGTAGTGAGACCCTGTAGACCCTGCGCTAAAATACATTTTAAAAAGTGTGTGTGTGTGTGTGTGTGTGGGTATGTGTGTTGGCAAAAATATGGAGAAATTCAAATATTTGTGCAGAGGAGGTTATAGTTTCTTTATAAACAGTTAAATCCTAAAGTAGAATTGTGATGAGTGCCAGCAGCTCCACTTCTAGATGTATACTCAAAAGATTTGAAACAGTTCTCAAAGCGCCTGCTTAGGCAGACCTGGATTGGATCCCTAGCATGCTGACCCTGTCCCTGGAGCACACTGAAATAGCAACTGAGACTGGACATGGTAGTGTGCGCTTGTATTCCCAACACTTGGGAGGCTGAAAAGAGGAGAATTACTATGAGTCTGATCTGTATAATGAGATCTTGGAGACCCTATACTAAGTACATTATAAAAAAAAAAAACAGGTTCTCAAATATTTGTATAATCATGTTTATAGCAGCGTTACTGTCTTAGTTACTCTTCTTTCATTGCTGGAACAAATACCCAACACCCAAATTGAAGGAAGGAAAATTTTATTTAGCTCACAGTTACTGGAGGTTTCAGTCTATATTCAGCTGGCTCCAAGGCAGAGTAGCACATGCAGAGGGCAACCTTTCATAGTGGAGGCAAAGAGCAAGAGCAAAAGGGGAGAGATAGCAGCAACTCAAGCAGCTAGCTTGTCTTCTCTCCTTACATTGAAATGCAAATTACCTTCCTCTGGGCAAGTGCAGCATCCACACCCACAATAATCAATCACAAACTCCAGAAACTGCCCCAAGACTGCATGAGGCTTTCTGGGGACAACTATACACAAACCATAACACTTACAGTAGCCAAAAGATGAAAGCTACTCCAAATGTGCATTGATATTCAGATGTAGCAGACACGTGATGGAGTATATTCAACCGTAGAAAAGAAATTCTGACAATGCTACAACATAAATGAATGTTGAGGCTATTTTAATAAGTGAAATAAGCTATTTAGTGAGATCAATAGACAGACAGTAGAAGGATGATGGCCAGGGTCCGGGGATCTGGAGGATGGAGAATTACAGTTACAGAACTTGATGATGATAAAATTCTGGAGAGGATAGTAGTGATGGTTGCACACAATATAAATGTACTTAATGCTACTGAACCATATCTTTTAAAATGATTATGATAGTTTTGTGGTTTACCATGACTTTAAAAAGTAATTTTTTAAATGTATTTAGTACAGAGTCTGCAGGGTCTTACTACACAGATCACACTTGTAGTGATCCTCCTGTTTTCAGCCTCCCAAGTGCTGGGATTACAAGTGCACACCACCACACCAGTCTCAGTCCTGTCTCAGCATGCTCTGTGGGCGGGGCCCGGCACAGCATGTTGGAGATCAACCCCAGTCCCTGCATTGCCTAAGCAGGTGCTTTAGGCCACTGAGCTATCTGGCCAGCCCCTAAAAAGTAATTTTAAAACCAAGCATGGTTGTGTATGCCTATAATCCCAGCACTTGGGAGGCTGAGGCAGTAAGATTTACCAATTTGAGACCAGCTGGGGCTACAAAATGAGTTCAAGGGCAGCCTGAATTACATAGCGAGACCCTGTCTCAAAACAGCAACAAGAACCAAAAAATAATTTTACAGAGTCAAAGAATATGGGGAAAGGTCTGTAAAGGCTCACACTCTAACCAGAATTGGCCACCACTAGTTTACCTTTGAGATATATGGGTTGGACAAGTGGTAGTGGTTGGAGATGAGTATGTGAAGTAGTCACTTACATCCTTATATTCTGCCCAGGCTGGCTTTGAACTCAATGGTGATCCTCTTGCGACAGTCTTGCAAGTGCTGGGTTTCAGGAATAAACCAACATGCCCAGCTACTATTTTTAAAGTTTTTAATCTGGGGAAAAAGACAAAAAAAAAAAAATTTCTTCTATATAAACCTCTGATTGGAAGAGATAGCAGTTCTGATGACTTTCATTTTCTCCTAGTTTTTATATAGTTTGAATTTTTTTTTTTTTTTTTGGTGTAACTGGGGATTGAACTCAGGCCCTTGCACTTGCCAGGCAAGTGCTTCATCCATTGAGCCATCTCCCTGGCCCCTAATTTTTTTAATCTTTTTATTTTTAAAGAGTACAAATTAGAATTAAAAAAAAAATTACAAGTGGTACAGATTTTCACGTAAAGTAATATGAATTTCACAGTATTTGTTGTAATACATATTGTTGTTCTTCAAACCAGTTATTCATATTAGCAGATATATGCATGTAAAATTGGAAGGAAGAAATGTGTAAGAAATTAAGAAGAGAAAAAGTGCAAACAGTTGAAAAAGGGAGATAAAACAAATTAGAACATTAACTGCTTCTTTCCTTAAACCAGCAGAAATGCACAGTACAGTTGTCAAAATCATCCCGCTATTTACATAGCTATATCTTTTCCCCCCACCCTTGTATCCTTCACCTCAACTCAGTAACTATTTATTTCTGAATAAGTTCATTCCCTTTTACCAGTGTCTATTGTATCCTTCAGATTCCATTTTTCTCTTTCAGGTTCTCACACTAAGCAGGCAATACAATGCTTGCACATGCACGTCTGATTTATTTCTCTGAAGAGTGTGTTCTCTAGTTAAATCCATTTACCGACAGGACTCAAATTTATCTTGTTTTATAGCTGAATAAAACTTCATTGTATAAAAATACCACATCTTCCTTATCCATGTTCAGTTGATGGGCATCTGGGTTGTTTCTAAGACTTAGCTATTAACAAATTGCACTGCTGTGAACATGGGTGCACATATATCACTGTGGTATAAGGTTTTCAGTTCTTCTGGAAAAATACCCAGGAGGGGAATAGCTGGCTTAAAGGGAAACTCCAATCCTAGCTTTTGAAGGAATCTCCACACTGATTTCCATAGTGATTGTTGAACCAGTCTGCACTCCCACCAACAGTGCAAAAGGGTTCCTTTTTCTCCACAGCCTCTTCAGCATTTGTTATTGGCTGGCTTTTGATTTTAGCCATTCTTTCTGGGGTGAGATGGAATCTTAGTGTTGTTTTAATTTGTATTTCTTGAATGACCAATGATGTTGAACATTTTTCATATATTTACTTGCCATTTTTATTTCTTCCTCTGAGAAGTGTATATTCATCTCAGTTGCTCATTTTTGGATTGGGTCTTTCAATTTGGAGTTTTTTGTTTTTTTTTTTTTTTAGTTCTTTTTATGTTCTAGATAGACAGCCTTTGTGTGAGGGACAATTGGTTATAATTTTTTCCCACTTTGTTGGTATGCTTTTTACTCTGTTGGAGATTTTCTTTGAAATACAAAAATTTTTCAAAAAAATGAGATCCCAGTTGTTGATTCTTTGAAGTATATACCATGCAGTTTGATTTCTGTTCACGAACTCTCTACCTACCCCTGTGTCTTTTAAAATTTCT